TGAGCTGAGAAAGGTGGGATAGAAATATCGTAAATAATCAAATTTTTAAGCTTGTTAATGAGTTATAATTTCAATCATCACATCAAATATGTTGCACGTTAACATTATTTTGAATTATATAATCCTGAAAAATCTATTTTCGATTTATTGTCGAAAGCTTTCATGGCTGGAATCACTGGGTTGTTGTAGGTTTTTTGGGCTATATGGCCATGTTCTAGAAACATTTTCTCCTGACGTTTTGCCTGCATCTATGGCAAGCATCCTCAGAGGTTGTGAGGTCTATTTTTGATTTGTTTTCATTACCCTATTTAAAAGTCTATTTTTAATGTACAGGGGTTGTGGATCACTATGCTTCTATAAAATTGGGCTATGACTCGAAAAAGGTTGGGAACTGCTGAGCTAAGTGGTTCGGTAGATGTGTCCTTTAGCAACATAACTTGTTCTAAATGTGTAAATTAAAATTCGAATCTGGGATGGACTGAACTGACTTGTGTATATGAACCAAGTTGTTACATCGAGTCACAGCATGTTACCATCCTACAATTAGGGTTGTGAATTTCATTGGGGCCTCAATGAAATTCAATGAATGGGGCAAGGGAAAATAGGTCCTTTAGCAAATAGTTCCTTCTACTGTTGGAGGAACTACGTTTTTGTGTATTGTCGAAGGCTTTCATGTCTGGAATCACTGGGGTGTTGTGTGGTTTCTGGGCTGTATGGCCATGTTCTAGCAGCATTTCTCCTGATGTTTTACCTGCATCTGTGGCTGATCCTCTGAAGATGCCAGCTGCAGTTGCAGGCAAAGTGCCAGAAGAAAATGCTGCTAGAAACACAGCTATACAGCTCAGAAACCACGCAATATCCCAACTATGTTTCTATTTACCTTATATATAACCATGATTCCAGTTCAAAACTTCTCAGAGAGCTCTGTCTCCCCTCTTCAATAACTGATACTTCCCGAGGTTTATGTTCCCTTGAGCAATGTTGATTCAGTATTAAACATAGTGTTTAATCCTTGTTTTATAGAACACTGTGTGTATATGTGTGTGCCTTCAAATTGCCTGTTGACATATGGCAACCTCATATGGCGATTGACCATGTGGATGTCATCCTTGTAAGTTTCATTCAAGTTGGATCTGCAGTGCTTTTAGAGTTGAGGAAATTGGGCACTATTTTTCCTCATTCAGATAATAAATGATATGTGAAATGGGTTCCTTGTAGGTTGGTATATATAAAAGCATATGCGATTTTGACAACTTTCAGATGGTTGCAAGTTTAGTGAGAATTGTAGTATCCATCATCTAGGTCCATCTTATATGCTGGACTGGTAATAATGATGGGTAGAATGAATGCTTGCCAGTTTTCATAAGAAAGAGTGTCCCAACACTGCAAGATATCCTTCCATTTAATAGTCAAACATATCAAGATGATTTACATTTGGGGACTTCTGTAGATAATGGAGAAAACAAGCTCAAATAGAACTTTTTTCTACACAAAACCATGGTATTCCTGTGCAAAAAAAATGTTTTTCCAAATGATGAATGGAGATGAACTGCTTATAAAAGTGTCCAAATAAACAAATACATTATTTACTTCTTTATGTGGAATATACACATGCTTTTTTAAAAATCTTATCAGAAGTGAATTGAGAATATATTGCAAGTCGCTTTTGGTGTGAGAGAATCAGCCATCTACAAAGACGTTGCCCAGGGGATTCCCAGATGTATTACCATCCTATGGGAGGCTTCTGTCAAGACTACAAATGGGATGCTGGGGCTGACAGACAGGTGCTCACCCTGTTTTGTGGATTTGAACCACTGACCTTCAGGTCTTCAGGTCAACAGTTCAGCCAGCACTCATTGTGCTATCGTGGCTCCTTATACACATGTTGCATGTTGGATATTCAAGATTAGCAAACACAAAGCAAAGCTCAGAAATAAAATGGAATATAAAGCTGGACAAATTAGACAATTAAGCTAAACCCACACTATTCCAAATTAAACACATAAGAGTTAAACCTCACAAGTCACTACATATATAAGATAGCTTAATGTACTGCTTGGTTGATATTTCTGGGAAGATCCTGTTACCTTCCCACTTCACTTCATTTTAAAGATATTTCAAGTAGGGTCTCTGAAGATATGCTAATGTATTGCTTATGGGAGAAGGCATTCTTAAATCTGCACCTTACCTTTATACATTCATATTGAAATAAGTCTGAATAGTTAACAGAGAAATAAACAGAAAATAGCAGTCTTGAAATGTGAATGCATATGTGCAGTTGTAAAACATTAACTTCCCTCTGTATTTGTAATAAAATATTTTGAAATAAAAGGACTCATCCTAGTTTTAACACAAGAATTGAAAGCAGAAGTATAATGACAGTTTATAATTTAAACATCCTTCAGGCTATATGACTCAATTTGAGCTAAATTAGATTTTGAGTGCTCAGAGGTTGGCTCTTATACATATGCTTACAACCTGTACTAAAAATAAATGACTCCCTTTGTCCAATATCTAAAAAAAGATTCCTTGGACAATGTAACCTGAGTGTTAGCTTAGGCTACAAAAAGACAAAAACGTATAGTTTCATGTTCATATGTCTAATCATATTATGTAAAATAAGTAACATATATTACTGAAATGACAACAGACTTTCATTATAGTGCTAGCATTCCTGTTTGCTAGCAACTGAAAACACTATATTAGATCAATTACCAATGAAAGCATGCCATGTTTTAAAGTATGTGTGTGCATACACATATATTTTATGGAGAATGAAACTCCTGGTGCGAATGTATTAATCAGCTACAGCATCAGCTGAACTGAAGCTGTACTTAGATTGTATTATGTACTAAGATTGTTGTGGTTTCAGCACTTTTGTGCTAAATATAGGGCCCGTCCAGACAGGCCCTATATCCTAGGATCAGAACCCAGGTTTTCTGCTTTAAACTGGATTATATGAATCCACACTGCTAGATAATCTGGAATAAACAGAAAACTTGGGACTGGATCCTGGGATATAGGACCAGTCTGGAATGGCCCCCAGTTATCTACCAGCAGAACTATCACTCCTTTCTTTTCGTCCTCTACTCTTTTAGTCCTTTGGCACTTTCCAAAACCAGTTCTGGTGAAGACTGCTATCCCTGCCATCCAGAGGTGGGTTTGGAGATATGCCCTGGAATATTATCTGCTACTCCTTTCATTAGTTCTGCCAGTCTTTGTCTGGAGGCCCACCACTGGCTCCTATATCCAGGATCTAATGGTCTATATCCAGTACTAGTGTAACTGGAACTTTGTAAGGGGATTGCTGATTCTAGCAGGAGGAATTAGGATCCAGTGGTATATTTCTCAAGGTTGCATTGATCCTGATATGAACCACAATCCCCATTCCTTATTCCCTCATCTAAATGGCAATGTAATGGAACTGCAAAGAGTGCATTCTTATGTAAATGTTTGATGAGGAACATTTATTTTTTGAAGATATCCATTGCATTATAATTTACTTTGCACTGAACTGTCTTATGTTTTTCCATTCTTTCATTAGTTCTGGAAAAATATGGGTGTATTCTTTGAATTATTGCCTGTAACTTATGGTGCATGAAAATCTAATACTGAAAATAAGATGTACCCTTCATCTAGACAGTGGAATTCAATTGCCTGCTTTCTATGATTGACGAGAGCATTATTACAGGGCATGTGCCTACAAGGATTTTTATAGGCCCTCATTCATCCCTGCAGACCATATAGCATCCTGATCTACTGCCTAGATTGCAAAGCTGATGTTGAAAGTTATAGTCTCTGCTTAGAGATACTGCCTAAACTGGAAAACTCTGTACTAGGTTACAATCCATTGTTGTCCTGTTGTAACTCACATTCAAGGACTGACAGCTACTCTTTTTAGGTATGAGCTCTATGAATTTCCAAGTCTGAAACTGTGAATGAGATCCTCAAATAAAAAGGTACCAGGTGATTTAGCTAAGAGCATAATCAAAGGGAAACCAGTGTAAAGAACTGGGAACATATCTGATCAAACTGTTATTCACAAAGGAAAGGAGAGTGGAAATCCTGAGAATACATCTTCAGAAAGAAACTGCCCCCCGCCCTTCGCAAAAGTGTTTTTATTTTGGGAAAATATGGGGGAAGTGTCTGATGGAATATCTTCTTTTGAAATGGTAAATAAAACCTTTGAGACAAGTTTTGCAAGGGGTTTTTACATAGACTTTTTCTTTTGAGTCTTGGTCATAATGTAGAAGAAATGCATACAAACTGGAATGAAAATGAGCAAGAATCCACCCCTATAATCAGCATAAGATGAAAAGTACAATGTCGCAGTTGCCCCTTAAACACCTTTGGGACTGTGTGATCTCTGAGTAGTCTCCCAGCATAGTATCAATCTATGTGATCAGATTCTGCTCATGCAGTTGAATCATTAAAATGTTCTTCCAGCTTCTCAGGAGTTCAATGACAAATGGTTCGTATGAGACAGGGATAACATCCCAAAAGCACATGAGCAGTAATATTGAAAGCCTGATCTCTACTAATGTTCTATTAAAATATTATTTCTTCACTGTTCCATGGAGTTACACTGTGGCAACTTTGTTTTGGTTCATTATGATATTACTCTAAAACTATGCTTATCCACTTGATTGCTGAGACCATTAACTATGATTAATGATTACTACCAAGTGTGCTAACAACAGTGAGACACTAACTATACAGCCATATCATAATTCTATATTATAGTGATATTTTAATAGGCATCCTTATGACTGTGTAGCCAACCACACTAATGCTTTAAGTGTTCTTTGTGATTAAAATGAGCACAAAAAAGAGTTAATCATGATTAGCTTCCCACACAAATACATCCTTAAGAATGTCCCTAAACTTTTAATAAAAAGTCAAAACACACCTCCTCTCTTTTAGATAAATGGATATTAAATAGGTAACTAAAATGGAAATCTTCTCAACTAGTAATGGCTTTTTAATTATTGTTTGTCTAGATCTTGGTGGAAGGTACTGTTGGGGATGGCTTCACTGGAGACATTGGTATTGATGATCTGTCGTTCATGGATTGTATGCTGTACAATGGTAAGATAAATTCAGGCACAAACCTTGGCTGTTGTGGGTCAGGATTAACAAATGAAATTTAGTAGATAATTGAAGGCAGTTCAAGAAGATGAATAGGTTTTAATAAAGAAGACACAGAACTGGAACTTGTAGGACAACTAGATCACTCCCCTTGATGTAGGAAATCCAGAACTGCCTGAAGACCTTCATTAAGAAAGAGTCTTCCTATACCCCTATGAAACTGATTCTAAGAGAAAGAGTAGCCAAGAACAGGTATTGGCCCTTTTCTTTGTGACAGTCCTTCAGGTATCTGGAAATTAATTTCTTTAGTTTCTCCCCTCTTCCACTTTAAGTACACCCATTTCAGCAAACCTTTCATCATAGGACTTGTTTTCTATACCACCAATAATCTCTCCTCTCTTCAAACCACATTCCAGTTCTATGGAATCCAATACAGCTAGTTGCACCAAGATATGAAGTTTGAAATCCTATTAAATCCTGGTGGAGCAAAATATCCCAGTATTTTGCTCCCAGATTATGCTGAATCACCCAGTACATACTTCAAGGATTTGGAATACATGATGAACTGGATGAGGGAACACAGGTGGATCAGACCTTTGAAGTTAACTTTTCTTTGATTGTCCTGAGTCTTCAATGACTAGCTCTTAGAAATCTTCACAACTAAGGCACTGTGGGAGGAGTGGTGTGGGGACTGGCTTGGTTTTTTTTTTTCAACTAGCGATTTCCTAAGCCACTCTTCCATGGCTCAAAATCCATAATACCATGGCTCAAAATCCATAATAGCAATTTTCAAGAATGAAAAAATAAATCATTCCAGGTTTTCAGTAAAGCAGAGACCTTTCACACTGCTTGCTAGCTAAGGCATTTAAATGGAAGAACTGATACGGATACTCTACCTAAAAAGAATAGTCTCTTATAAAGAACTGTCCATAACGGAAAGAAACAGACAATATCCTGAACGCTCTTGGTAGTACCAGTAGTTGTAAAAACATCAAAACAATGTGACGTAAATTCTGGCTCACCATTCATAAGTTGATTTAGTGGGTCAGCTCTACCAATACAAATTGGACTCATGTGTTTGCACAAGATCAGTCTTTTTACAGAGTCTTAATGATATTGTCTATCAATGCAATTTAGACTGATGACAACTTTTTCATTCAGAATTCATATATGGATAAGTTTTCTGATTGAATGTGAGATGCTCAAAATTGTGGCCATTTGAATTTTCTTAAGGAAGCTTGCCAGTTGATGCAATAACTCCATCCATGACATCCATTCCTGTGACACTGCCTATGAACAACTGTACAGAAAAGGAATTTGTCTGTAGAGCAACTGGCCAATGTGTCAATGTCAACCAAAGGTGTGATTTCCAACCTGACTGTCCTGACAAATCAGATGAGTCATCTTGTGGTGAGTAAACACTTTTTATAATGCAGTTCTTCTTATACATCCTGTTCTGTCCCCTGAGCTAATTCTTGAAGGTGTTTTAATCTTGCCTGGAACAGAGTTGGATTTACACAAGTGAACAGTTAACAATGAATTTACTTATTTAATAGAGTAATAAAAAGTGAAATTCTGACTCCTCCCAAGACTTAAAACTTGTAGGAAACTTAAACTTAAATTAAAACTTGTAGGAAAAGATGGAGGCCTGACTCAACTGTAGTTCTTGCTTACTTTTTGCCTTCCTTCTGTGTCCTTTCCTGCCTTGCCTTCCATACACCTGTGGCAGGGTTTCTTCAACTTCCTTTATTGAACACACTGCAGGTTAAAAGTTGGTGTTAGAAGTTGAAGAACTTCAACTTCCTTCAGCACCTTTTCCCAAATGTCTGGCTTCAAGGAAGTTGCTGGATCTGACTATGGGCTCCACCTCTGGGGTGGAGGTTTTTAAAGGGAAAGAGCTACATACAATAAAGAATGGAAGCCCTTCCAATTAAGGGAGGCTTAATTAGATAAAATATTAAAGTTTTTATGGAAGCATGACACAACCCACTGTGCAGATACCTTTACTGTGTTGTCATTGCCAGCATCGTGTAGAGCTTCCAATTTTGGACTAGAACTCTAGGAAAGAAAAGTTTAAATTCCCACTACTCAGCCAATAGGTGACCTTTGGCAGGTAATGCACTTTCAAAATTAAGAGAAAAGCAAAATAATGTTCAATTTATGCTAACCCTAAGGTCACCTATCACCGGATTTTCTTGGCAAGATATGTTCAGGTGGGATTGATCTTTGCCGCCTTCTGAAATTGTGAGAGTAATTTGCCCAAGGTCACCCAATGGGTTTCCATGGCCAGGGGTGATCCACATTCTAGTTTTCTAGGCCTTCCACACAGCCATATAATTCAGAATATCAAGTCAGATAATCCACAATATCTGCCTTGAACTGGATTATCTGAGTCCACACTGCCATATAATCCAGTTCAAGGCAGATATTGTCAATTTTATACCACTGTGTGGAAGGGGCCCTAGAGTCCTAAAGCAATACAAAAACTACTATACCACCTTGGCTTTATTTTCACATTATACCTCCATATTCAGGTGGCCAGGGGAAATAAGCTTTAGCTTTTGATTGCTTATGCATGTGTAGACAATAAGAATCCCTATGTTTATAGTTTTTGCCATTTATTGTCCTGTGTTATTGAAAAGTAGATTATTTGTTTCCAAAATAGTTACAGTCCTGGAAAATAGAATCAGAATCTTTTGGGCATTTCGAGTTATGCCATAAACAGCTTCCAGGTATCAGTGCTATTGCTTGTAGAGCCAAAATGATACCATCTACATTGTTGTGTGCTTTCAAAACATTTATGATTTATGGCATGCCCAAGAGAGTGTTACTTGCCCAAAGTCACTCGGTGAGTTTCAATGGCTGGGTGGGGATTTGAATGAAATTGACTGTCCTGGTCTTCCACTATTGTGCTTGATTGACTGGAATGTTAAACAGGGTCTCATTTGTTAGGTACTGCATCACCAGTGAAGGAATTGTTGCAGCAATGAAGTTTAAATAGTTCTACCCCAGAATACCACTGAAAGAAAGAATAGCCAAAGAGCTCATGGGAATCAATTTGCTCCATATTTCTGTATTGCTCTGTGCCATGCCATAATTTTTTTCTGCCTTATTTCCATAGCCCCTGATGCTTGTGACTTTGACCATGGAAACCTGTGTGAATGGTATCAGCCTGCGGCTTTGACAGTAGGAACATATTATTCAGTCCATACTACTAATGTGTTCCAGTGGGGCCTTGGAAAAGGATCAGGCATCCATCCAGGCGAGGAGAATCATCGGCCATTGGCTGATCATACCACGTGAGTCCAGTGTTCAAACACACATGTTTTCCTTTTGTACTTTCGGTCTGACAGATTCCAACCGTTTATGTGGAGCAGCTTGAGTGTGATAATGTGTCATTGACATAAATCATTGCTATCGTGTTTTTTTTTCCCCCTCTACTCAGCACTGTCACTTCCCCTCTGATTGAATCAAGTGCTCTTTCCATATTCACCCTGAGAACTGCGATTCCGTTTGGTCACAGTTACATGTAATGCTTAACATGGAGAATATTGGGAAGGAAGTTCATATGCAAGAAGCCATGAGCAGAAATACCCTTTTAGATCAAAATACAGGGTTGCCTGGGCCAGATTTATTCAGAAGAGGTTTACCATTGCCTTCTTGTGAGGCTGAGAGAGTGTTTCTACCCCAAGGACACCTACTGAGATTCATGCTGAAGCAGGGATTTGAATCCTGGTCTGAAGTCATTTAGAATTTAATTATTGGACTGTGGCAGGTTTGAATCCCTGCTCAGTCATGGAAACCCACTGGTAAATCACTCTTTCATCCTCAAAGGAAGGCAAGCAGAAAATGTCTTCTAAACGAATGTTACTATTTAATACAGTCACCAAAGAAATGATGTGGTGGCCTTAAGAGTTACCATAAGTTTGGGAACATTTTGGGGTCAAAATGGGGAAAGAGGATGTTCTACAGAGCTTGCTGCAGGCAGGGTCACTTTAGGACATTCCTTCTCAGGCATTCTGATGTGGGGAACCAGCAATTATTGTTTTGTAGTGTGCTAATCACTAGCACTGCTTTTGTGCACATTGAGTACAATTATGGTTGGGGATCACCACAGCATGAGGAACTATTAAGGGATCGCGACATTAAGAAGGTTGAGAACCACTTATGTAAGGAGCTTTAGTCAAGGAAAGGGACCTCTTGGTTTTTGGATATTGTTGTTTTTCCTGATTAAAAACAAAAAGTAATACTGACCTTATGATGAATGTAGGAAGAATGTATTGTCACCTCTTAAGTTTCCACATGTGAGTGTGATGATGAGACAGAATGCAAAACAGAGCTACTGACAATATAAGAGGGGTGATTCTCTACTCTTAAAAAGATGGTCAGTCATGCTTTCCCCTCTCAACATGATAAGGTGTAAGATCAATTTCCGTGTATTGCCCACTTACCTGAAGCAATTCTGAGCGCATTCTTGCCAGAAGACATTATAAGAATCTTTTTGTGGCTCCAAAATGTGATTTCACAGCAAGCATCTTATGTTACTGTTTCCCAAGTGACTCTCCTATTTATTTTCCCAGATAGACTCTGTTGGGATATTACGTGAATGTCAGTGGTAAAATAGTTGCAAACTGCTGGCCTGGATTTGATTTGGCATGATGGTCAAAAAGAGGAAGCACTGTATCATATAATCTCATACTCTTTGTAAGGGAAGAAACTGAATCTACTAAAGCATTAGCCAAGTGAAACCACAATTTCATATTGTGCCAAGCCACAGAAGAGTTGGAAAGCTGTAAATAAATTATGCCGACTGTGATTAGACACTGTGCTAGAATGTGCCATCTTTATTACTTTCTGAGTGAGATTCTGTCCCATTGTTTTCTTTGCTTTTCAAGCTTGGAGGATTTATGATGGAATGTTAATGAGAAGTGCTGTGTCTTCGATGAGCCGCAGAAGAATTACGAATTAATTTCAGCTCTTTGTCAGGAGCAGCCAAACTTTTTTTTTGTTTTAAAGTACATTCACACGAAAAGCTCTAGTCAAGAAACTTTAGTTAGCATTTGGAAAACACTGTGTTTCAGCAAAAATATAGATCCCTTTAACTCTGGTGCCCTTTGGACAGCAAACCTATGTGTTGTGCTGTTTTTACTCCAGTGATTTGAAAGTCAAAGGTTTTAGGACACATGGATTTGCTAGCCACTATAGTCCTGTTATCACTGATAGTGGATGAATACTACATTGAGTCTCTTCAATATAGCACCTTTCTTTATTAGTGAAGTTGCACCATGGTCATTATTATTATTTTATTTCCTATATTTATACCTCGCCCTTCTCACCATCAATATTACCTCCTTGCCTTCCCACAATACTTCTGTGACTTAATGTTAATATTTTTTATTTTACATTTACTGCAATTGCACAAGTCTATCATTTTTTTTAAAAAAAAAATAGACAAATATAACTATAAAACATAAACTAAAAGGAAAGCATTCAGCTTGGGAATAGCGAGGAAGATGAGGGAGGGGGATAGAAGAAAAAAGCAGCTCTCTGATTTCATTTTACTGATAACATACTAGCGCCGAAGCAGAAGAAACTGCACCAAGGTATGGATAGGAACATTGTGGGTTTGGGAGCTATTCACACACAATGTAGCTCTGTGCCAGCATACTGGCCATAAAGTGGCATCCAGCTGCAATGCCATTTTCCTGCCTCGTGCCATAAAGTTCAAAACGTTATCAAAGGAAAATGTATTTAAATGAGATTTAAAAAATTGGGGACATATTTGTTATCATTTAGTCTTGCCATACCTATATAACTATAAAATGCTTTGTTTTGCTGCCATCTCTTGTCACAATATCCTCTGTTGGTAAAAAATATGTTTATGCGGGGTTTAGTGGTAGACTACATACCTCATCATACTGATGACCCGCCCCCATACTGTTTCACTGCAATCACTGGCGAAACGGAAGGTATGTGTAGCACCTGGCGGTGAGCCTCACACCTTCCCCTATCAAATGGGAAAGGGTGACAGTGCTACTTCCTTCATCAGACAGCACCCTGTTGCTTTCCTCCTCAGTCAGAGGAAAGCTTCAAAAATGCACATAGCTCAATTGGAGCTAAACAAAAAGACATTGGCAATAAAGCTTCTTGCAGTGCTCCCTCACTGCTTCACCCACATATTGGGCAGGGTCTCGGTCTGCGTCATCTGATGGGGTGCACCTGAATTTGTGGCCGGAGAGGAGCCCTCCCCCCCCCCCCGTGTGATGAGATGGAAGGACTCTGGAGACCAAGATTCAAATTCTTGCTTTGCTGAGTAACCTTGGCCAAGTCACCCTCTCTCAGCCTAAGAAGAAGGGAATGCCAAATCCCTCTCTAATAAATTCTTTCAAAGGAACCCTCATTTTAGAGTCACCTAAAGTCAGATATGCCTTGAAGGTACATGACTACCTCAATAGCATAAGATCCCAGGAATAGAAACAATAATTTCAAAACTGCATGTTCAGCATCCTGTTCAAAATAAATAAAAATCATTGTCTGGAATCAGAGATGTGAGGCACAGAAAGCCTGGATCTATTTCTCTTTTCAAAGTTGGAATGTTAGACTACATTTTGAACCCTATCCAAAGGGTTGTCTTATTGAAATAGAGTGATTTAGAGCAGTTTGCAGATAGTGAGATCCAGACGTCATAAGCAACTGGGAGGATTCTCTCCACGTGAAGGGCCTGCAGCACCGGGCAGCTAATCAAAGGACTTTCCCTGCTTCCGATGCAGATTTTGGCTCCCCAAAAGGCAGGCAGGGGATGGGATGGTCAGGTGAAACAAAAGAGAATATAGTTTTATGAATGGGTTACAGTGTCTCAACCTTGAGACTAACAAAGTGGGACCATCAGGTCCCTGAGGATTATTGTTTTGGTGATTGTCCAGTGAATGACTCATCAGATGGGTCTGGTGCCCACAGTGCGCATGTCCATTGTTGACTTTACAAACATGTTGTCCAGAATGATGGGATTAAGGAATCAGTTCCTGGGAAATGGGAAATGGCATTCAGGAAAAACAGTGGCAGGATCCTCCAAATTCCAGGAAGAGTGCCAGGTGATTATGAGTCCTTTATGTCCATATTGCCACATAAATTAAGGTTAGCCCAATTCAGAGTCCGATCATCCTTTATGCAGTCAAGTCCAACTTGGAATCAATAGAGGGATTGATTCTGAAGGTGATTGGTGCTTGAGTCCTTTTTTGAGGTGAAGACCAGGGAGACACAAGGAGAATCCCAGGTCAAGGAGTGCCAGTGAAAGGTCACCAAGGTCATGGCAGTTGCTTCATAGCTCTAAAGATATTTTATGACATTATAAAACACAAAATATTACAACATACACACATAAGGGATTCTGTATTGCCTAATCAGTGGATACCCGGGTCTTTGGAGTATGCAAGTTGATCCAGGGTTGGGGCATGGAGAGGGACAGTGGAGAGGGGAGAGAAGCCCTGTTTGGGATGGAGGGGGTGCTGTAAAAATAACTGAGGCAGGCTGTAAAAATAAAAAGGAAAGCAAAAAGGAGACAATGAAGGCTACAGTGAAACAAGTGTGAGGATAAAAGGAAATTGGGGTGTCCATTTATTAAAGGGGTTAGTTTGTAATTCATAAAAGGGGTTTGGAGACAATGTATCCTCTGGAGCTGGCAGCTGCTGCAAGTCTTCCTCTGGCAAGCCATTGGGACTCGGGGCTCCAGTTAGTGAGCTTTGAATCTCTCCCGCCATGGTCCAAATGAAGAATTTTGCTGGGGGGGGGGGGGGAGCTTGACATGACATCATTATGGTGAGTGCTCCTTTCGTGATTAAGTACATGATTGCTGATTGACATTTATCTATCAATCAAGGATCTAATTCTTGTGGAGTTGATTCATCACACCAGCATTAAGAAACAAGAGTTCCTTATATTAAAGAGAAAGTTCACAAGTTTCATCCTGCAGATTATACTACCCACTTTGAACCTTCCAATTTTCAAATCTTCCATTCAGAAAAACAGGGACTAGCAGAGCTGGCTTATGACTTTCAAGTCCTCTTGGCACTGAATTGGCAACTAGTGCTCTGCTCTAGGAAAAGCAACAATAATGAGAGGCACGGATCAGAAGCCTGGAGTCAAGGCTGCACAAGGGATAATGGTTTACTAAAACTTCAGTAAATCTCTCTTTGCTCCATTGACAATATTTGCTGAAATGGGGATGTATTCTTGAGCATTGGATAGTTGTCACGGTAGGGTGACATATATCTTTAATACAGGCATCCAGTTTTTCTCTTCT